CTGCCAGCCAGCTCCCACGAAAACCCTCTGTGTGTTTGGGTGCTGGTCAGGGCGAACAGCCCAGTGAAACCCACAGAGGTCTGTTATTACTTACACACCCTGTGTCCCTTTATAATCTTGTCCCTATTCAGCTCCAAGACCATCCCTGCTCCTGCAAAGGGGGCTGGAAGTCACCCAGCTCAGAAGGATACGGCCACAGGTACAAATTCATCCGTGAGCATCAGGTTTGTGCCAGCGCCTGCTTTTGCCTCTGCCAAAGCGAGGTCCCCTGGTCACCCCCCCACCGGGGGAAGAGCTCTGTCCACAGCAGGATGTGTGGGAAGGGTCTGCCCACGCACAGCCCCTGGGAGCCCGCACTGCCTGTCCGTCAGTCCCACCACCCGGCTCTGGGCTGCAGAGGACAGTGGCCTCTCGGGCAGCCAGGGCAGAGCTCCGCGGAGGACACGGACCCTTCTGTGCACAGAGAAGGGCTCCCCAGAACGATCGAGCCCCACTGAGGTGAGAGAGACCCTACAGCTCTGGGCAGAGGTCCCCTTTCAGCAAAACCAACCAACTCTGGCCATGGCACGTCTCCGTCTCCTTTCCCTGCCTCCCACCCTCCCTATCCCCTCACCAGCTCGTGCTGCTCCTGCATCTGGGTGATTTTCTTGCCATACTTCTGGTCCACTTGTTTCAGCTCAGCTACCACAGCCTCACACTTCTCGTTCAGCACCTTCTTATCATCAATCAGCTGAGCAGGGCAAAGAAAAGGCATCAGGCAGCCAGGCAGGGTACAGCAACCTCCGCTTCTGGCTTCAGAAGCACCAGTCAGAGCTGGGATGGGACATTACCTGGTCGATGAAGGCCAGATGCCTCTGGATAGCTGCCTCGTACTGTTCCCTCTGCAGCTTGAGCTGGTGGCTGAGCTCCTTCTCGGTCTGTTTGACATGCCGGACAGTCAGTTCCCTCTGCTGAGCCTTTTGGATGCAGGGGAGAAATGGCCACAAGACATTAAGAGGAAGAAGTTACACCAGCCCCAGCATGTGTACAGGAGATCTACCAAACCTGGAAGGCACTGTCGGGCCAGAACAAGGAGGAACAGAGCTAAAGCAAAGTCCCTGGTACTCACACCTCCTGCCCTGCTGCCAGCAAGAACACCCAAACCCCTGCGGGACAGAGGAAAAGAGAGTTCAGCCCAGGAACTCACCCAGGGCTTCTGGACTAGCCAGGCCCCTGCCAAGGAGGGGACTTTGAGGAAAGTTTTCAAATCGGGGGGGCAGCAAGGAGAAATCGGAGAGAAGCCCACACCAGACCAAGGAGGACCTTGCAGATCTTTCCCACGCTAACAGTGACTGGGACTGCGGCATGCCCGGCAGCCTCTGGCCCTCCGGCTCCTCAGCACTAGCTCCGGGAACGCGGCAGTACTTTGCTGGGAAGCCCTATTCACAGAGCCCCAATTTTGTGCTTCAAAGCCACTGCCCCAAGAAACATCTGCTGAGGGCTCTTGGTGTTCATTCCCCAGCAAGCAAGAGCATCTGGCTCACACACCAGGGCGGTCTGCAGCAGGCCGATGGCTCGCTTCTTCTCCTCCACTTCCAGCTTCAGCCTCATGATGGAGCTCGTCACCTCTGTGGCAACAGCAGATGCCTGCTCCAAGTGAGCCAGCTCCTCTTCCAAGAGGAGACCCTGCAACAGGGGAAAAAAACAATTAAGAGGTGGTGGGCACCTCCTGGAACCAGAAGAAGGAGACGAGAGACCCGTCCCACCAGGGTCTTGCACCACCTCTCAAACATGAACAGGCTCTGGCTTCAGCACTCACTTCCCGCTGCGTGGCCGAGGCGGACGACCTGGGCCTCTCCTGCTCGGACTTCTCCATCTCGTCCAGGAAACTGATGATGCTTTGGAGCTTGGCCTCCGAGAGCAGCGCCCCGTCCTCGGGCACCCCTGGGGAGTGGTTCAGCTTCCCAAACTTCTCCAGGTTATCAGCAGTCAGGGAGTTGGAGCTGGGTTCCTGCTGGGCGGACACAGGTGTGAATGAGCACCCAGGGAAGGCTTGGGAGAAGAGATGGTGGCTCTTCTTCATCACCAGAACCCAGTCCTCCCACTGAACCCCAATAACCAGCCTTAGCCTCTGTATTCACCCTCCTCCCACCACAGCCCCCGCATGGTTTTGCTCCTCGTTGCCTCCTCCGCTGCCTTCAAACTCCTCCGCTGCCTTCTCCAGCAGCAAACCTTTCTCACCCTCCACCACCCAGCAAGCGCAAGGAGAAGGCAGCCCGCAGGGAACCTGCTCTCACCAGGCAGCTGTCGCTGTCCGAGGGCAGACAACCAGCCTCAGCCCCCTGCCTACCCCATCAACCCAGGCGTGTCTGTCCTTCCTGAAGAGCTTCGGCGGGGGCAGCAGCTCTGGCTCTTCCTCCAACAGCCTGAGCGTGTCCAGCAGCTCACTCAGCGTGACCTTGGACTGAGCCCTGCTGACGGCAGTCACCACTGTCTCCAGATCCTCGCCGCCCGTCTCTCTGGAGCTCACATCCTACGGAGGGGGGGAAGGAAGATGCACCTTGCAGTAAAAGAGTTTGCCAGATCTCCCCAGAAGTCAACGGAGGCTCCAGAGCCGCCCTGGTAGAACAGCTGGTGCCAGGAGCCCCGTGAGGCCAAGCCAGACCCACCTGCAGCTTGTCCTCTGCCCCAGGGTCCTGCGCGGGCGCGGAGCCGAGGTCTGCGAGGCCGCTCTCTTCCGGCTCCGCAGCTACCGAGTGGAAATTGGCCTCTGCAGGAACCAGACCGCTCTCAGGCACTTGCACCAACCAGCAGCTCCCCAGAGCGAGAACAGCCCCCTCCGTTCCTCCTTCCCCCTCACGTCACACGCTGCTCCAAAAGCATGGGAGACCTGCAGGAGGGACTCACCGGCGTTATTGGCTTTGGTGACACTGTTGGCTGGACTGACGTTCCTTGCAGAAGCAGGTTTGGCAGGCTTCTTCTTTGCTACCCTTCTGCTCTCCTTCACCAGCACAAGCTCTTCTTCTGCCAAGCGTTTTGCGTCCGGAGCCTTTTGGGCCCTTTTCTGGTGCAGCTCCTGTGGGGACAGAGAAGCCGTCAGCGTCCTGCTCAGCACAGGCCGTGTGCTGACACTGCTTCAAGTGCTAGCAAGGGCCTGGGAGACTGCCATGACCCACACGCTTGCTGCTGAAGGGTTAACAAGGACAATTCCAGAGAAAGGGAAAGCACAGGAAGAGCAGCTCTACTCTGCGCTGCTCTGAGCAGTGGGGAGGTCTCGCCAGCTCCACCTGTGACCGAGGGCTGTTCGCATGCCCCCGCCAGCGTCCTTTGCTGCTCCGTAAAGGGCTTCCGAATCCCGAGGGCCACGCGCTGCACGGCGCAGCGACGCGGCAGAGCCCAGGGACTTGCCTCAGCCGAGTTTCGGGAAGTCACAAGCACATGTTTGCAAAGCTGTTGCAGCATTTTGCTGTCCTCTGGCCGCTCACTCTGCATCTCTACCAACCACCACCCCACCGAAATACGATTACATTTAGGGCAAGGAGAAACCGGGGTTTTTTAAAAAAATCTTCAGCTATACTGCAAGCAAACACGCAACTCCCCATAACCTGCACCCTTCACCTGTGCCCAGGGGCACCAGCCCTCTCCTCCCTGCAAGAACAGGGCGAAGACGGTGAGGTGCTTCCCGCCAGCAGCACAGAGCGGGGCTCAGCCCACCCTGGAGCACCCCGCTCCTGAGGAGGGTCCCCTTCCCCGGGCACTCTCGTCCTCCCCAGCCACTCCGAGGAGCTACGGTTACAGTCTCCCTGTTTCAACACGGTCACCCTTTCCCCGAGAACAGATCAAAACCAGCGCTGCGTTCACAAGCTTCGAATGAGCTGCCAAGGCTTGGCAGGAGCACAACGGGAAACCGCTCTACGGCACCTCCGGCTCCGTAGGGAGCACTCCATTACCAAGGCTGGCTCCAATTCTGCTTCGTGCAAAGCCCCTGGAGATGCAGAGGGGAAGCCCTCTCGCTGCCTCACAAGAAGATGCCAACGCTGGCCTCGCTCAGGCCACAGAACCTTTGCCTTGTCCCTACCTGGATGGCAGCGCGCCGGGCCAAGCGCGCCTTCTCCTCTCGGATCTTCCGGCGTTCCTCGTCCTTCCTCTCATGCAAATCCAGGATATTCCCTTCCTCCATCCGCTGCTGCCTTTCCTTCCAGAGAGGAGGGTCAAAAATGTTACCGAGAGCTCTCCAGCACCCACCACCCACAGCAGGGAAGTGGGACAGGGCGTGCTGTCCCTGAGGTCACCCCATATCCAGGCTTTCCATCCCCCCAGGCCCCCGCTCCGTGCAGGTACAGAGTCCTCAGAAAAGCTCCACTTTAGAGCAGCTTATTTTCTTTAGATACTAAATGCAATTATTAGTCATCTGGGTCTGAAACCACCAAGGAGACAAGGCTTAAAAATAGACTCTCACATGCAAGAGCTACAGTACTTTTCGTTATTGCGATAAATAATTAAACACAAAGAAACACAAATAGCTGCAGATGACTCGCCACTCTCTAATGAGCCAATTCGTTACTGATTCGCTACGATGAGCTGAGACAGGGTATCCCTCCTCTGGCCACGAGTGTCCAAGACAATAAAAGAGTTGAGCAGGATTTGTGCTGGTCCGCCTGCTCGCGGCCGAAGGGAGCTGGTGGACAGGAGCCACACAGCGCTGAGCCCGGGGGCTCCCGGCCTGAGCTCCCCCTGGAACCAAACCCGGGCTTTCCCCCGCCACAGCCAGCGCATCTCCACGGGGCCGGGGCCCTCCCCAGCTCTCTGGACCACGAGGGGCTGGCTGGATGCAAAGCCAAGGCGCCCTCATCTCTGACACCTCAGGTCTGGGTTGAAGGGTCTGGTGACTTAAGGGACTCAAATTCCCCCGAATTTGCAGCGGACAGGACTGACCTCCCTTTTGGAAGCCAGCAAGCGCCCCAGAGCCGCCGCTGCCGCCCTGTGCCGTTGCGAGTGGCGTCGGTACCAGCGCTGGATGGTCACGGCCAGGTTGACCTGCTGGATGAACCTGCGGGGAGAGGGGGGCTCAGGGTCCTCCTCAGCTGCACCACCCCGTCCTGCTGCAGCAGCACGCAGGCAGCTCGCCCACAGCACCGGGACCCGTTCTGTCCCCTCGCACCCCGACTGAGTGAGGCCTCGGCCCGGGCTGACGTTTGGGGTGGAACTCGTGCCTTGGACCAGGACAGCTCAAAGCACAGAGCCAAGTCCCAGGGAGGGTACATCAGCCACTGCGGATGCACTGAGAGGGGCCCTGCCCGAACCCAGCACCCCAGAGGAGAGGAACAAACCAGTACCAGCTCCCCTGGAGCTCATCCCTCCGCCTGGCACCGTCCTCCTGCCTCTTCCCACCAGCCATCACGCGCCAGCTCCGTCTCACCTCTCTGCCTCCTCCTCGGTCACCTCCTGCCTCCGGGGCAGGCTGCTGTTGTTGTTGCGGGTCATGATGTTGTTGCTGGAGAAATTCTTCTGGGACTTCACGAAGCTGCTGCTTTCGCCGTCCTCGTTTGAGGTCGCTTTGACAACGTTGCTAAGGCAGAAAGTGAAGTCACTTGGCACCATCCTGCCCCGTCCCGTGCCACACCAGCACGCGGAGACGCAGTCAGCGCAGCCCCCAGGCCAGGACCTCTCCACACTCACTTGAGGGAGCTGGGTGCCTGGTTGGAGCTTTTGGGCGCAGGGCCCTTGTCCGTGGTGGAGTAGTTGTTGTGCACCATGGTGGTGACACAGTTGCCCATCGCGCCCTTGTTGCTCCTTTTGTGGAGAGAGGACGAGGCATTAGGAACTCGCCGGATCCGGAGGGGACAGCATGCGCCGCAGACGCTCCCCACGTGGCACCCTCCAACCCAACCGTGACCATCTGAGAATCCCCCAAGGCGAGGAGCAAGCGAGGCTGCACAAGCGACTCACCCTCTCCCTAGAGCTCACTCCTCGGAAGCTGTTACCTGCCGCACGGACAGACCGACCGACCCAGCCCGAGCAGACCCAGCACCCTGCGCTTCAGGCTGTTCTAGTCTCAGCTTAAAGCTCTCCTGGCCCCGAAGGGTTCAAGTTTTACTCGTTCCCTTTCCTAGAGCACGAGCAGCCTCTCCCACGCATCAATCGAGCTCCCGTGCAGCTTCCAAATGCGTCCTGGCCAGCCAGCCCGGCACACCCGGCCCCGTGCCCCGGCAGAGGCAGAGCCCCGGCACCCCCTCCTCTGCCCACGTCCTTTCTCGGTGTAGCTCCTCACCAGACCGGCT